AGAGAGAGAGAGAGAGAGAGAGAGAGAGAGAGAGAGAGAGAGAGAGAAAGAAAGAAAAGTTGTGTTTTAGGAGCTGGAGAGGTGCCTCAAAGCTTAAGAGCACTGGCTGCTCCTCCAGAGGTCATGAGCTCAATTCACAGCAACCACACAGTGGCTCACAATCATCTGCAATGAGATCTGGTGCCCTCTTCTGGCCTATAGCTGTACATGCAGGCAGAACACAATACATAAAGAAATAAATCTTTTTTTTTTTTTTAAAGTGGTGTTTTACTGCTTTCTTCACTCAATAAACCACAAATTCCACAAAGGGCCGTTTTTATCCTTCTTACCAACTAGCAGTGATTGGCGGGCACCGATTGCTCAAAAATATTCACTGGGTAAACGACCCCGAGGTTCATAGTACTCTTCACCTAGCTGTGACAGTTCCGTGACACATGGAACTGCTGTTAGCAGTGATGTCTTGTTGCTCTGTGTTCTGCTGGAGTTAAAACACTTATTCAAAATAGTTTTTCATCCCATAACCTCTGGCAAATAGTTTTCAACTTTTCTTGATTGCATCATTGGTTCTGAGGCTGGATAACTGACCTCACCTGGGCAACACACAGCTGCTTCAGAATGAGAGCTGTGTAAACGAAGTCTTGCATTAATGAGACTCCATTAGTCTGCCAGCCTGGCTAGCCGCAAGCCAGAGCCCCAGGTCACTACGGCCCCACTTGGTGGGCTCAAGTGAGAGGGAGCAAGGAAGTCTCCAGGCATCTGAGCATGGAGGGAAACTGAACAGCTGACCTAAGGCATGTCTTCCCTTCTCCCTACCTGGCCGTCCCTAAGACAGCTTTTTGCCTGGTATGATTTTCCTATAAAAATGAGCAAGTCACTGATAGTGACCGAGGACACATGTTCCACGTTTCTTTGGGACTGAGTTCCTTCTAGATCTATGTGAGTTAAAAGACAGCCTGGTCTACACAGCGAGCCCTGGAGTATGTAGTGAGATCCAACCGTTAAGACAGTACTGGCTCCTGAGAGGTCTTCAGTTCAAGTCCAGCGAGCTCCCGATGTCGACTCCATTCCAGCCTAACTCACCCGAATGCCCCTAGTGAACCTTAGGAGCCAAGAGAAGACAGCGAGCAGGAACGAGGGGGAAGGGTACAAACAGAATTCTGATGTTTAGTTCTTTTGTCTGTGAAACTGAGGAGTCCTAGATAGGAGACTGGGTTTTTTAGCTGGGCTTCTCCTCTTTTCTAGCACATTCTGAGCGCATACATGCTCTGGTTCTAACTCTGTATCAGCCACCAGGACTCAGGTCCACGTTTGAGCCACTAAGCCAGGAAGCGTGGCCCAAGGCCTCAGCCTCTTCTCGATGGAGGCTCTCTTCTCTTTGGTTGACAGATCAGTGCTGACACTGGAGAAAATGCTGCTGCCCCCAGACCCGAATGGAAAGCCAGGCCTGCGGTCCGTGCATGCCACCACCCTACCTGGACAACAATGTGGTTGCCCCCTCCCTTTTCACCAAGAATTCAGCCTAGGGTTCTCACCTCTGCAGTAACAGAGAACTAAAGATGGCCTCAGCCACCCACCAACTTCTAGCTGAGATGTTAAACAGTCAGAGCTCCACCCCCAAACCAGAGTAAAAGGAGCTCAGGAAATGGTTCTGTGTTGTCTAGCGATTCGCGCTCCCAAGCTTTTATTTGGTTTTATGATTTGTTTTTAATGCATTGGT